CACATTTCTTCTGCGGGAGTTTAATTAATTCAATCGGCGCTGTCAAAATAATTTGGACGAATTAGCCGCGCACGGACATATATCCGTCATGACGGCGTTGTGGCGGACGGCAGAACGCGCTACCCTATTCATAAGGACAGAACTCATCGGTGTAGACCAATATATATGAGTTTGCATTAAATTTGTCAATATTAAGCAACGTCTTTGGCTTGTCCAGTAGTCGCGAAGAACAGCTTGCGTTTGTTCTCACATGTGTGTGTTTTATTCAGGCATGTGAGGCTAGTCTGTGCCTTTCAGATGGCTGCACAACAAAGTCCTCCCGTGTCACTCTTAAATAAAGTGATGAACCGAAAGTTCCCTTAGGGCATGAAGACGGCTCAAATCACACCTGTCTGAAGGTGACTGACAGCAGATAACTCTGGGGCCTGTTCTCCCCCCAGCAAAAAAGGACGACAAACAGCTCAGCTACGGATAGCTCCGCGACGTAGGACTAAAAATGAACGCGAATTAATTTAATTACCAAAGAAATTTGTTCTACGTTATTTCATAATTGTTTTCAGCAATTTTCTTCCTTTTAAATAAACTTCATGAGTTACGCCAGTCCAACACAGTTGAACATTTTGCATTATTCTGACAAAATTTCAGTAGATTCAAGAGAAGGTTCTGGAAATGGCATACAAAGAAAAAGTATATAAAAAAAATCATAACCCAGGAGGTACACCGCTGATCCGTTATTTAAATCAAAATATCTTAATCTGTCGTGCTGTTAACGCAAGACTCTTAACTGAAAATGTGTTTCTCGCACACACTACAATAGCACTAACATTTTAACATTTTGCAGTCCTTGTAATTATCTCCACGGCCAAGATCCACAAAAAAAAAAATCACAACAGCAGTGTTTTGTCAGAAATAAATCTTGACAGTTTTCCAGACACTCATATGTCAGGGAGCGCCTATGTGAAATGTCACGACTGCATCCTGACATCCCGCAATCTTTAACTTAAAGGGAAGCGAAACGCGGCGGCCGCACACCGCGCAGGGTCTGGCGGGCAGGGTGCGCCTGTCAGCCGTCAGATCCCGCTTCACCTCTGCGGCATCTTAACTGCGGGAGGCGCCGGGGATGCGCCTCCGCTATCGAGTGAGACATTGACTGAGATCTGCATAATATATAAAAACTGTGACCGAGAAAATTCGCATTATTTGCATAGCAAAAGTTCTTATATAATCTACATTGGAAGGAGGCGACCCACTTTTCAAACTTTGCATACAATAAAACGAAACAATTCGGTGTATAAATTCGTGTATAAAATGTCATTCATACCAGAAGATTACTATATAGACTATTCACTTTTTTAGGAATTCGTACATTTACTTAAATCACTAAAGCGGAGTATTCAAAATCCCAGAATTAGGCCTATACCTCAGGAATTCAGAATAATAGTTAGCTCGATTGAGTATAAAAACATAGCAATAAGCTACCATTTCTATTCCCACGGACTACATTACGTAACATTTATTCCATCTGTGGCAAATGTATTTTTCCACGGCGTGCATGTCACTTATTCCTTGGGTGTATCCCGGTATATCTGTCCGATAACTTTCTCCCCAACTACAAAAGAAGGGATTTGAAATGAAGTGTTGCGCTGAACTGTTTTACAGGACAGTCACTTTCCCTTTGGTAATATGAGCGGACGTCGCATTTCAAAATAAATCACTCGCAGAGGCCCTTACTCAATCAAACCCCGTCTTTGTGTTCACTCGGCGTTACCTAATACGGCCAAGAAACCATAGAAAGTACAATTGTCACTACTGTGCCTTGATAAGCAATTAAAATTTCGAAAGTGAATGTTAAGGTCAAATCTTACGTCAGATTATCGTGGCAAAAAATGTCAGAGGTTTAGCCTCGAGGTCACTTCAGGAGAACATTCCCTCTCGTCCTATAGTTGAAAACATTTGTAAATAAGTTCTGAAACGGTTTAAGCAACTATTGAAAAGTTATTTAGCCTACTGTATGCTTATATAAAGCTTTTTTATTGAATGATGTAAGCTGTAGGTTGCAATAAAACGTGGCGCTAACAGTGTTTTAACCTATAGGCCTATTATTTAACTTCATAAATGTTATCCTGCTCTGATTAGGTCCATCGGAGAAAACCGTGTCATTTTAAAACTTGATGTTTGCCTTTGTTCACCGCTAATGTTTTTCTGCTCATTTCAACGTGAGACAGGAGACTTTCAGCGAACTGTCCTAATCTCGATCTGACGTCGCCGCGGGGAGGGTCCCGTAAGCAGACACAGAGAGAGGGGTCAGCGACTTCGGGACTGGCTCTGCAGGCCTCCGTAATACCTACCGACACGTCGCAGGTGGGTTACATCATTGATAGGTTTTATTTATACTGATTAAAATATATAGGATTATACATCCAAAATGTATAGCACAGAGTGGTACGAACTCCAAAATGGGTATTTATTTATGGCGAGTCTTTTATACATATATTTTACATACTGAATGTATTAAGTTATAATTACACTCTAAACGGCATTAAATGGATAAATTCCGATATTTCCTTGCACACCGTTTGACCACAACCTTCAGGGAAAAAAACCGGATTGAATACATGGTAACGATTTAAACGTTATGTGTCTTTATAACCGGGGATATTCAAAATAACTGGGAAGGATTTTTAAGTGGCTAATCATCTGGTTATATTTCATAAACTGCAATTAATTTCTCTAAAGAGTAAAGAATAATTCATAAAAGGTTAATTACAAGTATTATAAATTAAGTAGGCAACGCAACATCTACTTTTTTTCTGGACAACTTGTAAAAATAGTTGCTTCACAATTTTTTCCCCATAGTATAAAATTTTTAATTGTTGTACTTCAATATATGAGCCTGAATATTCTACGAAGGGTACGGGAATTTCTGTAATTTCCATTGTTTTCAAAATAAACCCATTCTGGGACGAATTCACACGTTATCCTGAAGAATATATATATGTTTTAATTATAAAGACATATAAACAATATATGAAATTCAATGTCTCAACACAATCAAATGTTTTATCAATGTAGTGTTTTGTAATTAATGCCTTGATATCGATACTTTGATCAAGTTTCCCACAGTTGTACAATACAATCAAGTGTGTAATAACAAAGCCAACATCCTGTACACATCTTTTTAAAAATATATTACATTTCCCTCCCCCCCCCACATCGTCTAAACTGTAGTCATGAGAAATACATCATTCATAATTAGCAAAACCGACGATCACGCCTCATTAGTAATGGCTGTTCAACGTTAATGACAACATGTATGCCTCACTGATTTGTATCACATTTGAATGTTGCATAGTTTACATATAGGAAATTTAACTGAAAACCTCCGAAAACTTTCAAATCCAGCACGTCCAGCCAGTCGCTCATTCAGTATATAACTGAGCATGTAGTTCCACACTACATCATGACATAAACGGTTTTGTTACACGGAATTACAAATAACTGTGCAAACGAAAAGAATATATAATAAAAATAAAGAGAAAGTACAACTTTAAGGTTAACAGCGATTTGAACGCTCCATCCCAATACGAATCAAGCCGTTAGTAAAGATGTCTTGGGTTGCGATCTATTATATGTGGATGACAGAATTTATTTGATCATAGTGTATGATTACGGATCGGACGAAACTCATTTTCAATCAAATACTTAAATAAATCGAGAGTCTGACATGTGGACGGATGAAGGCGAGGAAAGAAACTTAATCAAGGCTTGTCGCTGCAGTGTTTGAAGATGGAGGACGATGTGCCGGAGTAAGAGGTGCACTTCTCGGCGCAGGTGGCCAGAGCCGTGCCCGTGAAGGGGTACACGGCCGCTTGTCCGAAGGGAGCCAGCGCCGTTGGGATGGGCGACGTGATGGCCTGTCCCTGGTTTAAATAGGCTACAAGCCGCCGCATCTCCTCCAGGGCTTGCGCTTGCATGAGTATGTAATTCTTGGCCAGCAGCAAAGTGGCGATTTTGGAGAGTTTTCTCACGGAGGGGCTGTGCGCGTAAGGGATCACGGAGCGGAGACCGTCCAGGGCATCGTTCAGGTCGTGCATCCGCCTGCGTTCCCGCGCGTTGATGCTCAGCCGCAGCGACCTCTGCTCCTTGGGCTTCTTGGACAGGGATCCCGGGTGCTTGTCGTCGTCGAAGCCCGTACTCCTCTTCCTGGGATCCAGCGCGTCGTAGCCGTCCTCGTCGTCGCTGGTATGCTCGCCGCCGCTCTCCGCCGACTTGGCTGCCTGGCCGGAGAGGAAATCGGCGGCCGGCGTGAGTGGATAGCGCCCAGGACTTCCAGCACCATGGCCAGCTCCGAAGCCGAAAGAGGACTGGCCGTAGCGCTGAGTGAGGTCCAGCAGAGTGTCGTTGCTGATCGACTTCAGCAGGTTCTCTTCCCCAACGTTCATTTTCTAATGATCGTTTATACAAATGCCTCTGTCCCTTCTTATAAAGACTGCCTTGCCTTATTCCGCGGGGGCTCACTTTCCCTGCTTTGCCAGTATTATTTCTTTCAGAAAAGCCCGTCGCCCAATTTATTAACTTCCGTGCACATAAAAATGCAAATGTATGCACAGTGTGCCCAAATATTAGTATAAATGCGCCGTGCGGGGTAATGGTAGACGTACCTATGGCTTCATGAATGTCTTCTTGTCGGCTGCTCGCAGCGCGTCTTGCCCTCGCCCTGGGCAGATAGTGACTCGTCCTCCGTCCCACTTGAGCGTTAGTAGCAAAGTGAAGCCCACTGGGATTAACTATTCGTCCAATCAGGGAGGCCGCTTAATTAATAGGATTAAAGAGCGGAAAGATATTGATTTCAATCGCTATAATGATGGGTCTCGCCCACAGAACATTTAAAACGGCACCACTTTTTAAATGAAACTGCAACATTTGCTTCAATTGTCACACAAACATTGACCATTTAATGCTTAATTCCTCTTTATCCGTAAAGGGTAGGAGACTTATTTCCATCTTTTAAAATGCAGATACCTGACTGGAACCATAATGTAGGCGCCATACAACAACACACATTGTTATTTATTTACAAAAAGACCGTATACTATAAGATGAATGGCTTAACGTTTTATTTGTGGACGCGTTGGTTCTGTCAGTAATGTATTCTTGCAATATTTGCATCAGGTATATTTTAATTATATGAAGTTGACTCCATCTTCGTGTGTTTAGTTACACATTTTTGTTGAATATTAAGACCGAAATAATTGACTAATGGCAGAACGAAGCTGGTCGCTAAGTTTCGGGTTGAAAAAGAAGTAGTTCATGTTAAATGTAATAAAATTGTAAAGTTAGAACGGCCTCCCTCAATAACGCCACCCGGTGATGGAAATTTATCACGTCTGGGTATTCCGCAAGTATCGTCACATTAATATAATGTCTTCACCCGCACAATAGTAATTCCCCGACAGTGTAGGGTGTACTTTTAGGGGTTTCAATCAAATATTTATAGTATTATGCCCATAAAAATCGGACGTATGTGCAAACACGTCAGAGTTCATTTCCATACGCCCCGATACACCAAAAAGGCCACTTTTCCAGGAGGGCCGACTTTGAAAGAACGGGACCGTGAAGTAGACGTGCTGCGGGGAATTAATCACATTGCCTGGATGTGCCCCAAGAAGGCGGCTTAGTGACAGGACTCCAAGGCGTGGTTTTGCACACTGGCAGTAGGAAAGCCAGTAGGCCGGCACCGTAATTGTTCTAATTTATTTAGTGAATACACAGGAATCACACGGGCCAATATCCGTTACAAAGAATACATTTCTACTTATGTATGTTGGTATTTGGCTTGTCTTTTGCCAGTTCACAATGTCATTGTCATATAGTGTTTAAAATTAACCATACACTACAAGCATAATATACCAGTTTACCCGTGACATGTGCCGGTAAAAACAAACAAGCCTTTATCGCACCATTATTTAATTATATAGTGACGGTACGTGTTTGTATTTACATGTTCTCCTGAACTGATGATACTACAGACCCATAAATTGCAAACTTACAGTAGTGTTCTGTTGACTTAAAGAAAAGATATCATACAGAACATTACATGACACGATTGATGGTTTGTCCAACATTGTAATGATAAATGCTTAAAAACCAGAATTTGGTGTGGAGTCGGGTCCTTCAGTCACAGCCCTATTTCCAGGTTACAGCGGCACTGCCACCATGTGGTAAATTTAAACATCACGCAGAAATATATAGGCCTAATGTAAAATTCGAACGCCGCGGTAGTTCATTTCAATGTTTCACTATTTTGCCTGGAACCACGCTCCAATATCACCCCTATGAGTTAATCCTACCCGAATATGTCCTATAGGTTGTGTTAGTGATTAGTTAGTGATACCACTCATGGACTCGTCTTACCCGAAACAAATCCTTCATAAATAGTTTTCTCAAATATACGAACAGCCTGAAATAATAAAAGCCGTGTAAGAAAACTGGACCAAACAAGGGGGCAATTGGTTTGTAAACATATTTAGCATTGTGCAGTCTGGTATAAACAATTATATTGTAATAGTAATAACCTAAATAGCCTAATTTAATTACAGTAAACAGGAAAGCTAGTCAAATGCTACGTGCAGCGAGCTCCTTGCTTTAAACACAGCAGAAATGCGTTGATCTCCCATATGGTGGCGATGTTGTCAAAAAAGTTCACATAACCACGGCTACCGGCCGGGGGAAAACCGTGTACGCAGCTGAAAAACGTGACTTCTCACCTTTTCCTCATTTGTCTAAATATTAAGGAACTCCGTATTTTTGCGTAACGTTGGGGTGTTTAATAGAGAGCAGTTAATATGATACAGCTGCGAATAAGAGAAGTAGAAATACACTAAAGCCAAGGGCAGACAGAGCAAATTTAATTTTTTCGGCGAAAAAAATTATTAATTACACCCACTTTAGGCCCACAATACAAACGTGGATGAAATATATAATGAAATATATTTTGATAATGACAATGCGCAATCATTAAAAGTTTATAGTATTTTTTATAACGGGATCCCAAATAGAAACAAGTATACTATAGTATCTGGATATTAACGTTAATACCAAACACTGGTTCTGTGCACTATAGCTTTGAAAAGACTTGATGAAACGTAACTCCGTTTAAAAATGCGTCATAACATTGTAAGACGCGAACAACAGCAAGCGGAACAGGTATTTTTCTTCTCTATTCAAAACCAAGACAGGTATTCTGAAGGTATTTTATCCACGACAAATCCAAAAGCCCTTTCACCATGGATGATTAAGGTCTATTAAACGATTTTTAAAATATGAGCACCTTCTTAGGTAAGGACACAAAGAGCTATTGAAATGATCACTTATAGGCCTATCCCAGAAAACGTTTCCCGGTTAAAAAGACAGCGGAGGATGAAAGCAGATTTCTTTAACCAAGTTTTGCGTGTTGCACGTTTTGTTTCGTTGTTGTTTCATCAGAATGAAAACGAAATTCATTTTGTTCCCCGTCAGCCAGATCCATCCTTTAAACTAAATCCACAGCGACATTAAACTAGCATTTCTCATATTGCGAACTTAGTCAGTGTCTGGTTTATAAGCGAGTATTTTTACAGCACATCTGAGGTGAATCCTGTTACAGTGCCGGGCTCTTCAATCATAACATGGTACCGATCTGACATATTACCAGTATCACTTTCTATCACCCTCAGCTTCACATTCGGCAGGATTTATTGGTCTGAAAAAACGAGTAGCCCGCTTTCTCTCCCCATTGTAAATAGTTTTTGATGCCAAATAAAACTGAAGATGTGATCACAGGTCGCTCATGTGGGACAATAATCCCATGGGGTAGTAGATATGAGATCCCGCGTTTTAAGTGACCTCATCAAATGATTTCATTAACGGCGAAAAAAATCACCCCCACCCCTAGGGAGAGGGATTCTCTGCCTGCGCCGTGATAGCTGGACTCGAAATGCAGTTTTCCCCTGTGCAGCGCAGCTATCTTAGCATTACGCCCCCTCCTGGGGGATCTTAACTTTCCATGAAATTAAAGTTTAAAGGAGATTGCATCCGCCCATCTCGAGGCTGCTCCCCCTGGTGAGAGTCACGATGCTGCAGAGAGTCTGTCTCCTTCATTCCTGTCCTTCGGTGGCACTGAGCATATCTCCAGCTGAAGTTTCTATATACGGCTCATAGTCATTTTTAGTGTTATGACGGCTCCGTACTTAGCAATAACGCTCAGGATTTGAGAGTAGCTCCGGTTCCGTTGTTAACATTCTCACCGTGTTTATGTCGGTTCTGGTCAGTGCTGATCAAGGCAATATAGCTGGTCACCTAGGGCGCCAACTTATGAAGGGGCGCCAGCTAATTTCCACTTGCCTCGGAACGGTGGGCCCCGGCGGTGAGCCGAGGGTGCCATATTGGCTATGTCTGGCACTGGTTATGTTGGACGTTCGTCTTTCTCCCTTCAAACCGAACATGTAATTTTCAGATTTCTTCTCCTCTCTGGGACAGACCCCAATCAACGTTACTCACCCTGCCCGTTTATAACGCGGAAAGCGCTTCATAGTAATCAGGATCAATTCAGTAAGCTCGCGGGGATGGAGCTGGCAAGTCTCCACCCATGTTTATGTTTATGTGGAAGGGAATATTCTTCTGTTGCTGTCACGCTGCCACCTAGCAGAGAGTTGGGAGTGTTGTCAGGGTGGAGGTGCATATCCTAAATGGTGAGAGCACAGCTGTTGCTTTGGGTTAGGAGTTTGTGCTTGCATGCAGAGGAGTGTAGGCTCAAATCCCATGGCTTGCAGGATAAACATATCACTGTAAGGCTCTGCAAACTGCTCTGGGCTGCTGGATAAATGGTTGGCCTCAAGCTGTGCTCTGTTTCATACAGGAGCTTGTGAAAATCAAAGAATTTCTGTAACTCAAACTTGCACCAATCAGAAATCAAAGTTTTATTCAATCACGTAGGTCTTATCTTATTATATCAGTGTCTCTGCCCAGTCAGACGATCAACTTAAAGGTTGGAACAGCCAAAAGAGGACCAGAGCAGCCCCACTGAGGAGGGGCTGTGTGTCTGAGGCACCGTGCTGCCTGGGGGGAAATCTCCGGAAAGCCAGCATTCCCTTATGGAACTTGGCCGCTTGGGCATTGCGGATGAGAGTGGCAGTTGGCTCCAAGCCAGGCTGAGGGTCACCTTAGAGTGATCCCCCCCAAGCCTGGGTCCGCCTTCCACTGTAGTCATGACTCGAAAAGACTGCAATCCTCTTATCAAACCCTAAAATCAACCCAAGTTAAGCAATCATAGCAGGTTATGAAGAAGATGAGGGATTGCAACCTTTAATCCGCACTGTACAGCCCAAGATTTATCTAAGAGAGGCTCACTCATGAATAAGGGCTGAATAACTGACAGCCAGCTTGTGAAATGAAGTACTGGCAAAAACCCAAGCCTGGTATCTTAAATCATTCATTTAATAATCCTTTTAGTGCACTGATATCAAAGGTGTGGACATATGGCTGTAAGACAAAGGTTACACTAAGGTAAGATATACAGCAAAACTAATTTCCATTTGTTAAATGAACAGTGTAGTGCGCGGAATAAGACCTTTTACCGTAACGACGTTCAATCTGTCAACTCCTTCAGAAAAAAAACCCAGCATGCTTTGCCGTATTGCTATGGAAACCTTGAGCAGGGCATTATATATAGGTGAATCATTACTTACCGCTAAAGCGTACTAAGATGTAATGTATGGCAATGTCCCCTAGGTGGCAGCA